AAATATTGAAAAAGCTACACTGCGAATCATGGAGTGACGGCGGTTACGCTTTCTAAGCTGAGTTGGCCTTCAATACGCTCTCTATTCTGTGATAACGGCTCGATTTACTTCTGCTCGGTGTTCATGAATAATAATCCGTTGCTTGCTCAAGATCTCTATATTATTTTTAAAGTTCTTCCAAATGAAACTTTTATTGCCATTTTAAGTTATACAAATGCCTAACCTTCTTCGTTGAGCAGAGCGTGTCAAAGGAGGAGAGGCTCGGTTTGGCGTCAGCCTATTTGGTGAGCGGGAGTGACGTCGATCTGACTGAGAAGGGGTAACCACGGGAGTGCGCGTACCAGGGTATGGGGAAACAGCGATGTCATCCAAATATATACGGGGGGATATCTAAAAACGATAAGACTTCACATTCCTGATTCCGTTTTCACATTCGAATGTAGAACGAGACAGATGACTTTCATAAAACCACCATAAGTCAAAGGGATAAATCTATCAGTCAGTAGCATAAAGGTCAGTAGATATTATTTGGATTAAATTAGACTAACTTGGATATTTTTATATATTTTCCCGTATATAGGTCCAGAGCTTCCCTTATTGTCCCGATGTTTTTACAGGAAAACTAACTAACCTAGCTTTGCTCTATCAGTTTTGTCTAAACTGTTCTCTCCACAGCAGTAGAAGCCTAGACGGGCCAGTAAAAGAAGTCCCTCACTGGTTCAGTGTTACAGCAAGAGAAAACGAAACTTCTCTACTTTATCATAACGGGTAGCTCCGTTGTAAAGGTTTCTCCTTTAGGGGTTTAGGACGTGCCCTCCCTTATTGATCCATCAAAGACGGGGCAAATCTTCGGGATAGTTTCCCCGATCGCACTCCTCTCCATATATTCTTATACCTCTACTTGGTGTAAACTCGTAGAGTGAGGTAAATTTGCCGAGGGTAAATGTTCGGAGGGCAAATCATCCGGGGTGTGATGCTGTGTAGTCGGAGGTTGGAAATCGACGAGGGTCGTATCTCGTAGAGGCATAAAGCTTCCTTCCGTACGGGCTGGTGACGAAATGGCAGCTGTAGGTGGAGAAGGAGGGGGTTGGTTAGGTGGTGTTGCGGGTGAAGGGAGTTTAGTGATTGCTGCTGTAGACAAGGTTTCGGAAGGCGCCTGAAATTGTTGAAAACAAAAGATGTAAAGCATTCCTGTACTAACCATTCAACAAATCAAAATGCTTAGTTGAATACAGTTGCAACGAATGAAAACGAATGCTCAGCATAATGCACGCATAGAGACTAAAAAAGAGCATTGCCGGATAAATTCAGTCAAACGAAAGGGACAAAGTGTGTAAAACCCGAGAAAAGTCACTTTTCACCATTTCGCTACAATTCAGGTATTGAAGCCTGCATGGTTTTATCGACAGTCCTGACTGTTTTACATTTACTTGTGGGAAAAAATTGAGGACCCTTTTGGGTTCAACACAGAAACAACCAATTTAAAACATTTCTATCGTTCGAAAACTTGCTTTGTTTTGCCCTCATTAGGGCAAATGTAGTGAGCAGTACAATTTTTTCGAAATACAGTGCCAAAAAGCGAAATACCATGCAAAAAATGAAATATAGTGCAAAAAGTGAAAATAATACAAAAAACCCAAACATTACGAGTGACAAAATTTTCTAATAAAATTTTTTATATTAATAAAATTATCTATCTCGCATGTGATCTACACATGGATATGACTGCATAATTTTTTCAAGTATATTATTAACTAGTAATAGTACGGTTTCTCGTGGAATTTGGAAAAACATACACTCATGCATGAGTTTTCAAAGCTCCTAAAACTGGAAAAACCTTATCCAGTAAAATATAGCCATCTACCGGATACCGATCGGGAAAAATTATCACTGGATAATAACCGGATATTAATGGCGGTACTTGGAGTCTTGGATAATACTTCACTATTTTCCCCATAATATAATCCATTGTCTTAGTATGTGCTTTATCTCTATATAATAAGCATAAATATATGTGGCACTGGTATAATGCATGTTCAAGTGTTATCAGTACAGCTGGAAAGAAGTTTCAGAAGTTCATGGACTTGCACTATTTTTTAAGGACTTTCCAGGTCTGGAAATTTTTTTCCAATTCAGGGACTTTCCAAGATTTCCGAGGCTCGTGGACACCCAAGACGATACATCAAAGATGCAGTGAACACGTTAGCCAATCAACAAAAGGCCGATCAACTAACATAAGGAAAATGTTGACCGTTCTATATTAGGAATTCTACGCAATGGGGTGAATAAAATTTACATTGTTTTTAGTTTCTTTCGGTACCAGGCCCAGGTACATTATAATGGACGGCCCCAACATTAAGTTCGTTCCTAGAAACATACCTCTTCGGCGTTTCTGAGCGAAACTTCCATAAAGCTAAAACAAGAAACGCAAAATATTGTAATGAAATATTTTCGGATAAATTTCGAGGAACAAACTATTATTTATTTCCTTGTTCAAAACGCATAAAGTTACTCACTCTCTTGGTTCTACAACGGAAGGTCTTATCAATGCATGATCTTCATCAGGAGGAGGCTCTCTAAAACAGCAGCAAAAATATAAATTCATCATTTATTCACTGTATGGCAGACTATATAGACCATTTTTAAAAAGTCTGCCTCGTGACGTTAAATACGATCATTTGGCCAATCAGGCAAGCCAAATGGCTGTGCGGGGTTTTCCTTTATCCGCAAGCTACGTCACAAGACAGACTTTTTAAAAAGGTCTATTGCACGCTACAAACTAGAGTCGGGCGATATTTCGATACTATCTCGACATTTTCACTCACGATTATCATGTAGAAGGTAGAAACTTGAGCCCCGATATATCGTAATTATCATTATGATCACAATGACTATGGATTAACTATTTTCTGAAGGTCCATCGCTTTCCCGCTATCGTAGTGCACAGCTACGGTTTATGAAATGATGAAATCCGATATTTATTTAATTTATTTATAATTAGATATATTCTATATATCTCTATTATTAGTGTAGCTTGTTTTGCTAATATGTTTTTTATATTAAGATTGAAATTGTGTGGTCATTGTTTTTATTGCATTTATCGCGATAGACGATAGACGATTTCCTAGACGATAATTCTGATTTTTTAAATAAAGATTTTTTAACTCTATACCACAAGCACCTATATATACTATAAAGACGCCTATATAAAAGCTCTGTTGCACAATATGAAACTTGTTTTGCAACATGTCTTTGTTGCAAGGTGTAACATGTCTTGCCGAATCATCAAGTCTCGCAACATTTTTGTTGCAATAAGCATTGCACGAAGTAGAATCAGATTTCAGTAGAATCAGAACGCTGCAACGCTTTTTTAATAAAATTACACAGTGCAACATATCCCTCTTGCAACTTGTCTCGCAATGTTTACTCACTGAATGGCTTCCTATTGGCCTTTGGAAGTTTGGCTGACAATCTGGCGCCAAAAGTTAGCACTCGCAGTTTTTACGCTATTTTTAATCATGATCATTATTGCGAGTTGCATGCAACACAAGTTGCGTGCAGCGTGGATTGTTACAATTCCGCTTAGTCCGACAAATGTACGCTTGAGTGCGCAGTTGGTTGGACATTGACTAATATTGGTCGGCCAGCTCAGTTCCTCCATGACTAATCATGACAAACGATCCATGCAACCGACACGTTTTTGGTCGCTATTGTTCGAATTTAATAAGGGTTATTACGTTTTCGTAGCGCTTTGCATTGTGGTTATAGTGGTATCACTGATAAAGATAGCGGCCTCGAATAAAAATATTGAATGTTTTCGCGAATATTTTGCTGTTGGCTATCGCGCACCTGACCCTAGCTTTTTTTTAAAGTTTTTGCACGCGTCAGGACAAAAAATAAGCCATCTTGAATATCAGTGATACCACTATAATCACAATGCAAAGCGCTACGAAAACGTAATAAGGGGAATCATCAATTTCCTGCATGCCTGGTGCCCGTCACAGCGAAGCCAAGACAATGTTTTTCTTGCATATTTTTCAACAGCACTTGAAAACTGCGTATTTATTTGCATGAAAACTGCGTAGTTTTCTTGGTTTTTGTATATGAATTTTACCCCCATTAGCAAGCTTCTATTTGTCCTTCTCGTTTGACTGAATTATTCCTCAATGCTCCCATTTGTCCTTTTCGTTTGACTGAATTATCCCTCAATGACCTTGTCCGCCATTTTTGTGTGGCGAATTAAGTTAGAAAAGTGAAAAGCAGTCCTACAGGGTGTATAAAAAAAAACGCAATCCTCGACTGAAATGTAAATTGCTAAACAAATAATAGACGAAAACGTTAAAGTTTACATTCATTTTAAAGCGTAGCCATTCAGCTTTCTAACAGTGGGTTGTTTCTTAAATTTGACTCATTGGTTCGCGGGTAATAATACTTTGCGTTATTGCGATTGGAGATTAAAAAAATTGAGATGGAATAACAAATAGTTCTCATGAAAATAACTGATTTTTTCATTAAAACAAACAAATGTTGCATTTTAATAAATGGATTGTAACAATAAGTATAATTACGGCTTTTCTTCCACTATTTTTAACAGTTTGAAACTTCAAATGCGATATAATTTTGGCTTGGACCATCTAAGCTGACTGACATCAGCTTGCTATAATTTCTGTTTACATTACATCGCAATTCGATGACACTCTGGCTCAGACACCAGAATGTTTTGATTCTATGATTTTTAGCGTTCGTTTGGGATTTTCAAACAACCTCGTCTCTTTTAAAATACTTTTAATTTGTTCTTACGTGGTTTTCCAGATGTAGTGACGACAACATTAAAGTTTAAAGAAGAAAATTCTAACATTTAAACCGACTAAACAATAATATAGTAGACTTGCATAATTAAACAGCAACTAAAAATGATAGGTTTTACTAAATCTTTTCCTGTGCAATCATTACTAGCATTGGAGACAAGGATAATAGTTTGTTTGAAAGAGAAAAGAACAGGCTTTGAAGTAAGCCTAAATGCGTTTAACTAGAAATAGTATTTCGAAAGTTATTAAGCACAAAAGATGAATTGCGTTTATTTTGATACACCCTGTATATTGTTTATAAGTACTATTTACTTTACTAAATCCTTTCCTTTGCTTGTAGTCATCCTTTGCCATGCAAAAATATAAGAAAAACAATTTCGGCATTGCATTGCAAGCGATCATACATCAAGCCAGTGTAGATTATAACTGTCGTCAATCCATGGGCTATTTGCCGAGAAAAAAACACCAAATTGACCGATCAAATAAAGTTGTTTTTCATCATTTGCCTTTAATTGTCTTACTTTTATTTGTGGAAAAGAAATTGAGGTCTGGAGTGTCCTTTTGTATTATGGAAACTGAACTTCAACACTGAAAAAAAAAACCACTTTAAAACATTTCTACCATTCCAAAACTTGTTTTGAACGGTTAGGTGGAAAACGCGGACACGCGGACACGCAAGTCAAGTGGAAAACGCGGACATGCGGACACGGACATGCGGACACGCAAGTCAGGTGGAAAACGCGGACATGCGGACACGAAATTTACTAAACTTCAAAAAATCTATTACGACAATAATTAATAATTTTCGCGTGATATTGAAAGTTATCAATGCCGAGGTTGTGTTTTTCTCTCTCTTTTCTCTGTCTTAGTTTGTAAGTTCGTTTGGTGTATTTCGCTTCTTTTTTTAGTTACAAAAACAAATCTCGCCATGGGCCATGGCTTTATATGTTCTGCATGTAAAGCAGCTCGTTTTCTGCTGGCAGAATTGATGTCATATTTACATTCAGAAAGCTATATCTGCAGGTGTGATGTCATAATTACACAATCAATTCCATGTATTTTACTTACGGTATTGAAGATTCTGAAAAATCCACTCAGAATCTTTACAAAATACAAAACAACGGCAATTCAGAAAACGTTTTCATATATTCAAGTTTCAACTACATATGTTTTAATTGTCATCACGAATGATACTGGGTTATATTTTATAAGTGAGGAATCACAGAGTAATTTGATATACATACACATACGTATATATTATCAGGTCTTTTGATGCTTTACTTCCCTGCTTCAAGGTTAAGTTCTCAGTGCAAAATTGTAGCTGATCATGACTAACTTGTGATTGCCGATCAACACTAGGGGTACAGTTGATCGCACGCGCAGGTATAGTTTTGCAACTATTTATTCGTCGGGATCATTATTATGATATAGAATGCCCGTCCATTTTGACACTTCGCACCTCCTTTAATCCTTTT